TAATCGGAAACACAGCTGGGAATATTTGGTTTTAATTCGGCTTTTATCAGGGTTTATTCTTTTGTATTTTTGTATTGTGTATTTTTTGTATTTTGGGTATATTATTTGTTTTAATATGCTGTGAACCGCCCTGAGTCCTATGGGAGAAGGGCGGTATATAAATTAAAATAATAAATAAATAAATAAATAAATAAATAAACCTGGGTTTTGTTTTGGCCTTGAGTCTCCGAATGAGTCATAATTGTATGAGATCATACAATGCCTTTGCTGTCAAGCTAGCACAACCACCCCGATTTGGTTTACACGTCAAGCTGAGCCAAAGCCTAACAACTGGCAGAATTTAGCACAGTGTGAAAATTGGGCCTAGGTTTCATTTAATTAATTCATTATACTTACATTCCCCCCCCCCCCGTTCCGTCTGACGGTGCGCCCAAAGATAGCTAACTTTTAGTAGAAGGCAAAATTGAAAATAGTAAGAAAAAAAGAAAGGCATAAATTAAAACCAACGGTCAACCCCAATCATCCTGCATCTTTTGAAGTCACATTATTTTTTTGATGATACTCTGCAGACAGCCTGGTTTCATAGCAACAATCAGTACGGGCACTGAAATTGCAAACATTAAGAAGCAATAAAACACTGTTGATAAGAAATAGTTGTTGTTTTTTTTCTTTTAAGTGCCTGGAAACATGAAACAATTTTTTGCTGGTGCCAGCAATGATTATACATTTCAGTTATTATATAATCCAAATCTCAAAAGCAAAATGACCAGAACTGGCCAGTTTTCCAGTGAAATCTCCAGTGATGACACATTGTAAGATAATGAAAGTTTGGGGCCATATTTCTCTCATCCATCATTCCTGGTCCTACAGCCCCAGCCTTTGTTTTAACATTCCCTCCTTAACACATTTTTCCCTGACGAGAAAGCAGCCAGAAATGGGGAAACTAGGAGGGGGATTAAGAGCAGTGGTTAGAATGTAGTTTTGCTTGCTAATTCTGCCGACTGTCAGCAGTTTGATTCTTAGGTTGACTCAGCCATCCATCCTTCCGAGGTTGATAAAATGAGGACCCAGATTGCTGGGGGAAATATACTGACTTTGTAAACTGCTTAGAGGGCTGTAAAGCATTGTGAAGCGGTATATATGTCTAAGTGCTATTGCAATTGCTATCTCTGCCCACTGTCAGCAGTTCGATCCTGACGGGGCTCAAGGTTGACTCAGCCTTCCATCCTTCCGAGGTCGGTAAAATGAGGACCCAGATTGTTGGGGAGCAAATAGGCTGACTCTGTAAACTGCTCAGAAAGGGCTGTAGAAGCCCTTTGAAAAAAGGCACATTTGTCTTATTGCTATTGGGTAAACCCTTTGCAATCATCCCTATTTGAGGCAGGAAATGTTTACAGTAATAGTGTCAGCAAGAAGAACCATAGTAAAAAGGTAAAAATTGGGACTAAATGGAAAACTATTTCTTGTATCTTCTCAACGACGTGTCTTAGGTTGAAATCGACGGCAAACAGGAAGTTGTGGTGTATGATCAAAGCTCAGCAGATCTGGCTACTGTCCCTTCCGATTCCTTCCTGAGTCTCCTGTTGAGAAAATTGGAGAAAAACTTCAGCTCTGTTCACTTGCTTGCAGGTAGGGTCCGTGGCGGAACACCTGAGCAGGTACACATGGGGTTACACAGGTCATTCCGAAGAATAATTGTGCATATCTTCTGGCACCGACCTTGTTTTGCCAAGGTGTGTCCTCACTTTCTCTTTTCAATGGAAGAAAATGCTAATGTGAGCAAAGCGGACTGTTACCGCAGTTCAGAAAGAAAATGGGATGGATCTGACTTGGCCTTGCTTGGTATTAGATCAGTGTTTCTCAACCTTGACAATTTTAAGGCATGTGGACTTCAACTCCCAGATTTCCACAGCCAGCAATGCTGGCTGTGGAATTCTGGGAGTTGAAGTCCACATGCCTTAAAATTGTCAAGGTTGAGAAACACTGTATTAGATGCAGCAGATAAAAACTAGGGATAGGCTTTCCGTATTCTGTTATTCTACCCTACGAGAACAAAACAGCATTTTCTGCTTGTTGACCTGTCGTGTCTCGAAGGGCTGACATCAATCTCGAGAACCTCCATCCTGCCCTGAATGAAAAATACCAAATCCATTTGACCTTGCCAAATACTTTTGTAATGGGGAGGGTGGGAATCCAGGAAAACGGCTTGTTTGACAAGATTTCTTCCTATCTTTGGTAATCTTCTTTGGTCTCACCCAATTGGCCTGTTTGCCTGACTTTTTTTATTAAGTTTAAATGATTTCTTCCATCAAAATTGTCTTTTGGTCGGATTTGTTCTCTATGTACTGTATTCTTTTGACTTGTATCTCACCTTTTGACACTTCAAATAGCTTTAGCTTCAGTACAAATCATGCCTGAGGTAAAATGATGCATTGATTAATGCAGGGGTCTTCAAACTTTGATCGTGTGACCATGGGGATGCTGCAATAGTTGTAAGTGTGAAAAACAATCATAAGCCATTTTTCCCCCCCGTGCCCTTGTAACTTTTGAACAGTCACTAAATGAATGGCTGTAAAGGGAGGACTGCCTGTATTACATTATATTCATGCAGGGGTCTTCAAACTTGGTCCTTTTATGACTTGTGGACTTCAACTCCCAGAATTCCTCAGCCAGACACGCTAAGTGTGCTAACTGCTAAACGTTGTTTTAAAATGCCGATTCTAATGCCCCCGTTTTTAAATTAATGAAAAACAAAAACAACCCCAAACTGCAGTGTCAACAACTGTTATCTTTTTCAGTCCAAAGTTGGTATGTAAAAAGTTCAGCTGTTACCCAAACACTGTATAGATTACAAGGCTGTAAGAAATTAAACAGCAGTAACATTTCATTTCCTCCTTGGAGTGCCTTGAAAGCAGGACCCTTGTTCGGTCAGGGCAGTTTTCTATTCTTCCCTGGAAGAGTTTTTTAAGGCACAGATTAACAAAATCACGTGGCCTGACCTGTGTGTACAGTCTTTCTTTGGCTCTTATCTCTATAATAAGCGTTATCTCAGCAAGTTGATGACAAACTCTTAAAATGTTTGAGTTCAGGGGTCACTGAGCTGTACAAAAGGCAAAGAATGGAGAAGGTCCAAAGGGTTAGCCAGGCTGAGCTGTTGAAAACAAAGTATTTTAGTAGCCCAGAGGACAAAGAAATGGGGTGGGCAAGAAAAGAGCTGGTTCATTAAATGACTTTTTTCTAATGTTCACGTTCTTTATCTGCTTGGTCTGTGCTGCTGTTTTAGTCTAGATAATCTAGGGATATAATCCAGATCACATGAAGTGTTAATACCACTTTACAAGGCCTTGGTAAGGCCACACTTGGAACGCTGCATCTGGTTTTGGTCACCACGATGTAAAAAAGATGTTGATACTCTAGAAAGAGTACAGAGAAGAGCAACAAAGATGATTAGGGGACTGGAGGCTAAAATATATAAGGAACGGTTGCTGGAATTGGGTATGTCTAGTCTAATGAAGAGAAGGACGAGGGGTGACATGATAGCAGTCTTCCAAAATCTCAGGGGCTGCCCCAAAGAAGAGGGAGTCAAGCTATTCTCCAAAGCGCCTGAAGGCAGGACAAGAAGCAACGGATGGAAACTAACCAAAGAGAGAAGCAACCTAGAACTAAGGAGAAATTTCTTCACAGGGAGAACAATTAATCAGTGGAGCAATTTGCCTCCAGAAGTGAATGCTCCAACACTGGAAGTTTTAAAGAAGAGATTGGACAACCATTTGTCTGAAATATTCAGTTAGACTCCAAGAATTTGGCCATTAAAAAGACTGAAAGATGAGTAATGATGGGATCTCGATCCAGATCCCTTAAGACCGATTGGAGATTGGCAAATGTTTCTTGGCTAATTAAGTGCACCTCTTTCGATTCCCTAACTAATGAGAATATGTAGAAATTGAAACCTTGGAATTTTATGCTAATTGGTGGACTGTTAGTTTTTTTCCATGAGATCAAAGTAAAATCAGATCTGAGCTCAATAAAGGCAGAGTAAACTGATGTTTTGGGCTGCCTGACACATATTTTAACCAGATGCTATCGTAGAAGTTTCTGGCGTTTAGTGGAGAGATTGATTCAAAGTCTACCTTGTTCCTTTTCCGACACATTTTTCTGAGACAGATAATCCCAAAGTTCCCACCAGAACTGACTAGCATATAACTCGTCAATTATATTCTGGAGACTAAGAGGCCTAGAATTAGCAGGGTCAGCCCTGTAGCTTTTTAAATATCGCATAAGAAGAACAGCCGTGTCTCAATCCCCTGGAGAAGCGGGCAGTTTTAACAACATATTTCAAAAGCACATCACGCTCGGCCCCCGTCCTCTCAAATCAGCATTAATTTTAAAAAAATTCTGCTAGGACCATCCCAAAGTTGAATAGTGTTTTTATTTCAGAAACTCCGGAGTAACATCAGATATAATACTTGTGCTGGAATGATTAAAAACAAGCATCGAGGGTTCCTGGGGGAAGGATCTAACAGGCTAAATGAAGTATAACTGGGATAAAATGACTAAGGTGGTTTGCCAAAGCCTGTCTGTATCCCTGCAGTCCAGCAGAAAAACTAATGACTTCCATAAGTTCTGGATAGCAGCCTGTTTTGTCTTTCAAGAACGATTTTTCATTAACTTGTAGCTCACAGGGTCTCCAAAGTTGGCAAGTTTAAGACTCGTGGACTTCAACTCCCAGAATTCCCCAGCCAGCCATGATGCTGGCTAGGGAATTCTGGGAGTTGAAGTCCATAGGTCTTAAAGTTGCCAACTTTGCAGACTCCTGTTTCTTGAGGGGGGGCCCATAATTCTCTTTATTTTACTTTAAAAAGTACTTTATTTTACTTTTTGCTTTCTTTGCCAACTGCAAACAATTCTTAAAGACAGATGTTCCTGGGGGCTCCCATCCATGCATATGCCAAGCCCATATTTTTAGATTCTGAATGAGGGTATCTATTTATTTAAATATTTCAACAATCATTTATGTAGTTGACTGGAGGGGGGAGTTCTATTGCCTACCAAGTAGCCTTCACCCAAATTAAGATAAGATAACCTTTATTGTCATTTTTACTGTGGGCACAACGACACACATCAAAAATGAAATTTAATTGCCTGCTCTCAAAGTGAACACATACATGACACACAGCTAAACATACTATATACAACATATGTATAGACCTACACCCCTACATATACATAACATATGAATATTAAACACTGTCCATCTTGAATATGTAACGGAAGGAGCCATTCTGAGATGCTTCCATACACTTGGATATTTCACCAAATCCAAGAGTCAATCAAAAGACGCAAGGGATGATCATCTCTGGGCTTAGGGGAGCATTTTGGAAATAGGCAAGAGAGTGACTGTTTTCCATGGGTTATCAGAGAGTGGCCTAGCTTTAAAGAGCAAACATGATTAATTAGCCAAGTGGCGAGAAATCAGTAAATAATCAAGAGTAAACAATCTGGATCCATTCCAGAATGTAATTTCTATAGCATCATTTTAAAATTCCTAGATTGAGGTGATGTAACCACATTTAATACCCTTAATGGAAGACATGGCTGTGCTCAAGTACCTTATGATGGTAATAAGCAGCTAGGGTTAAATCATTGGTCCCTTTTGGGGCTCAGATCACCTTCTAATGAGGACAATCACATCAGTTCAACACAAGCCATCTTTGTGAAACATCACGTTTGGATAAATATTTTGCGAAAGAAAGATCAATGTTCTTAACCAATGAATATTCCACCAGACAACGAAGTTATGACCCTGAAGATCCATCAAGTTGGTCAGAGGTAGTTGTTTCTGCAGCTGTCAACACCTCCAGGAGCATGGGATTGTAAATGAAAAATATTTCTTGGGGGAGATATTCCAGATGTCCATTCTTGCTTTTTGTCCACCTCAACTGATGGGTTTTCTCCAAAGAGTCTTTTATCAGAGCAGGTTGAGGTGGGCCTCAGCTAAATTACCTCTCCATTCAAAGTTTTCATTTAGATCCATTTGATCATTTGTGGTTTGTCTTGAATGTGTTGACAATTAAGGTTAGCGATCAACTTTTCAAACAGATGTTTCCGCCTGCAGACCCAAGCCCAACTCAAACTTGACCTTGGCAGAAGATTTGAGGTTCCTGCCTTGTGGAAGGTAGAACTTCCTTTCCTTCTGTGATAGACTTTCTGCTGTACGATTGAGGAGACATAAGGTTTTTCCACAATTGAGGTTATCTCCTTCTATAACCATCCGTCATGTTTTTAATAAATTCAATCTTTTTCTCTTTTGAATCTCGTTATGAGCACTGATTACCTTCCTCTCCCTCGGGAAAAGAACATTAGCTCAGACTGATTGAAAATAATTATGTCTTGTGTCTTCATTTGTTTGTCTTTTCCTGAGAGACTATGTAGTTCATGCTCTTGCTCTTTGAGATAAGCTGTTTATGCATCTTTAAAGGCCACAATCCCCAAAAAGAGCTCTTCATCTGAAAAATCATATGCAGAGTAAAACACTGATTGAAAAATATCAGCACTCTTTTATTATCCATTGCAACTAGACTTCCATATGATTTCTTCCAGCCTATCAGATAGAATTTGGGGTCTTGGGA